GTACACAGTCTCAATTAAACATTTCCAAACATTTATTGTCGGGCAAATGGTAGATTTTTGCAAGCTTGACTGGTGTCATGTACCACCTGTATATCATTTCCATAATATTCTCTCTTAGGGCATTACATGCCGTGAATTTCATACCTGTGGTCCATAACTGTTCCCAGTCAGCGATCATTATGTTATGTCCAACATCTTGTGCCCATTTAATCATGGCTGATTTCACCATTTCATCCTGAGTGTTCCATTTCAACAGCAAATTAATACATTCTTGACAAATTCTTGATTTTTGGATCTAACAATTCTGTTTCTAATTTTGATTTTTCCACCTGGAAACCAACTTTTTTGTCCAAATTGTATGCCTCCATTATTTGGTAATCATGGAGCCAATCTCGCACTTTGTTTTTCAATTTTCAAGCTCTGCAATTTTATTCTGTCTCCATCTTGCTCCAGAATTTCCCAATATTTCGGCCATTTGGCCTCCATATTGAGTTTTTTCTGTGCCTTCGCTTCCATTGGTGACAACCATCTTGGGGTTTTCTTTTCTAACAAATCCTTATATCTTATCCAAACATTAAACAATGCTTTTCTAACAATATGATTTTTAAACGCTTTATGTGCTTTTACCTTATCGTACCACAAATATGCATGCCAGCCAAATGCATTATTGAAGCCTTCTAGATCCAACACGTCAGTGTTTTCAAGAAGCAGCCATTCTCTCAGCCAGCAAAAAGCAGCTGATTCATAATAAAGCTTAAGGTCTGGCAGGGCAAATCCACCTCTTTCTTTAGCATCAGTTAATATCTTAAATTTTATTTGAGGCTTCTTGCCCCTGCCAAACAAATCTGGAAATATCTTTCTGCCACTTCTTGAAACAATCCATCTTATCCAAAATTTGCAATGTTTGAAACAAAAACAACATCCTTGGCAACACATTCATTTTTATCACAGCAATTCGGCCTAACAATGATAACTTCAAATTTGTCCATATTTCTAAATCCTTTTTCACTTCAATCCAGCATTTTTCATAGTTATCCTTAAATAAATTCACATTTTTAACAGTCATGTTAACCCCTAAATATTTCACTTTCTTAACCAATGTTAGTCCTGTCTCCTCCTGAATCTTCTCTCTCTCATTCACAGTTAAGTTTTTCCCTAAAACCTTAGTTTTCATCTTATTCAACTTAAAACCTGCTACCTGTCTGAATTCTTGAATCAGTTCCAATACCCTTTTAGTACTAGATTCTGGCTCCTGTAAAGTCAATACTAAGTCATCAGCCAAAACTTTCAATTTGTACTGTTTAGCTCCCACTTGTATACCTGGGATAAAGGCAATATATACAGAACAGAAAGCGAAGCTGATAGTAAACAACTATACTACAGAAGACATCAAAATAACCAAGGGTACAAGGCAGGGATGCCCATTGTCTCCATTATTATTCATTATGGTGCTGGAAGTTTTGCTAAAATCATTAAGGAAAAATGAAGATATAAAAGGGGTGTCTATAGGGAAAAATGAATACAAAGTTAAATCATTTGCGGATGACTTGGTAATGACGGTAGAAGAACCAGTGGAAAGTGTCAAAAGAATCTTAGAAGAAATAGAGCAATTTGGTCGAGTTGCAGGATTCTATCTCAACAAAAAAAAGACAAAAATAATTGCTAAAAACATGAATCAAGAATTAATTGAGGAAATACAACAAAGGACAGAGATAGAAGTGGTGAACAAAGTGAAGTATTTAGGAATATGGTTAACCCCAAAGAACATTGATTTGTTTCAAAACAACTACTTACCTGTGTGGAACCAAATAAAAAGGGATTTGGAGGTGTGGGGAAGATTGAAACTGTCCTTTGGGGGAAGAAGAAGAAGAAGAAGAGAAGAGTTTGGATTTGATATCCCGCTTTATCACTACCCGAAGGAGTCTCAAAGCGGCTAACATTCTCCTTTCCCTTCCTCCCCCACAACAAACACTCTGTGAGGTGAGTGAGGCTGAGAGACGTCAGAGAAGTGTGACTGGCCCAAGGTCACCCAGCAGCTGCATGTGGAGGAGCGGAGACGCGAACCCGGTTCCCCAGATTACGAGACTACCGCTCTTGACCACTACACCACACTGGCTCTCTGTGTGGAAGAATATCTACAATAAAAATGAGCATGCTACCAAAGATGTTATTCCTTTTCCAATCATTGCCAATAATCAAGGGGGCATCAATTTTTAAAGAATGGCAAAAAATAATTTCAAGATATATCTGGCAGGGCAAGAAGCCAAGGATTCAGTTTAAGTTATTAACAGATGCGAAAGAAAGAGGTGGCTTCGCCCTGCCAGACTTGAAATTATATTACGAAGCATCATGCCTCTGTTGGATAAAGGAATGGATCAAATTAGAGAATGGAGAGTTGTTAGATTTAGAAGGATTTGATAACAGATTTGGTTGGAATGCATATCTATGGTATGAAAAGAAACAAATTCACAAAGGTTTCGAAAACCACATCTTTCGAAGATCACTGATAGAGGTGTGGGAGAGGTATAAGAATTTGTTGGAACCTAGACTCCCCCATTGGATTTCACCATTAGAAGTGATGAGTGTGAATAAAATCAATATGAGGGGGAGGTGGACAACATATGGAGAATTGGTAATAAGAGAGGGGGGGAATGGAAAATGAAAACTTATGAAGAGGTGAAAGAATCTGTTTATGACTGGTTACATTACTATCAGATCAATGAAATGTTTAAAAAAGATTGTAAAATGTGCGGGTATGAAGGTAAAGAATCAAAATTTCAAGTGGAGGTATTGAATAATGAGTATAAAAATCTGTCTAAAATGTATAAAATGTTGCTGGAGTGGCATACAAAAGATGAAGAGGTAAAAGCAGTAATGATACATTGGGCAAGAGATTTTGGTTATAATATACAGTATGATGACTGGATGAAATTATGAATTGAAAGGTTAAAATTTACGGCATGTACTGCGTTGAAAGAAAATGTAATGAAAATGGTTTACAGATGGTATATAACGCCAGTTAAACTGGCTAAAATGTACAAAACATTCAACAAGTGTTGGAAATGTAAAGAAAAAGAAGGTACTTTCTATCATATGTGGTGGAAGTGTAAAAGGGTGGAAGGCTTCTGGGAAATGATATACAATGAATTGAAAAAGATGCTGAAATATACGTCTGTTAAAAAACCAGAGGCCTTCCTATTAGGAATGGTAGGAAACGAAATTAATAAGAGAGACTGTAAACTGTTTCAATACGCAGTGACTGCTGCAAGGATGCTTCTGGCCCAAAGATGGAAGCAGGAAGAAATCCCAACAGTGGAAGAATGGAGAAGGAAACCGACTGAATATGCAGAATTGGATAAATTGACTGGGAAGATTCGATATCAGAAAGACCAAAAGTTTATCGAGGACTGGGGGAGATTTACAGACTATCTGAAAAACATATGTGATGTACAGACAATGCTTGTTGGTTTTGAAGAGACTCTGTGAGATAGTAAGAAATAGTGCAAAAAAGAGAGTAAGAGGAAAAGGCGTTCTAAAAGGCAATATTATGTTTAGAAATGCGTTAACAAAGAGAAACTTTGCGAAAGATTGACAGAGAAACTGAGGGAAGTCAAAAATTGAAGAATGAGTGTTAAATTATCTGTTGACTGTATAAAATTGTTTGGAAAATGAATAAAACTTATTTAAAATAATAATAATAATTCAGTTAGACAATGATGGCCTGATTCTGGCAAAAAAGCACCCAGATTGCTACCAACTTAGTTGAAAGGTGCTGTGGTGGGATGATGAGCTGCTTGTGCGTAAAATCCAAGTCCCTCAGAGTTTGGTTAAGTCTGCAAACCTCTGTCTGTAACGGAGCCCCTTAAACATGGCTCCGTCAGTCGCTGGCAGATTCCGACAGTCGTTGCTTTCGAAATCGCTTCCAACATAAAAGCTCCTTAACGGAAACACGTCTTCGGGACTCGCGGCGTGACAGTTTCCGGCGAGGAGTGGGTGTCCCTATAAGGAGGTCCAGAAACCTCCCCACTGTTCTCGCTGGAAGGGTCTCTGAGCCATCCCTCCTGCTCACTTTCCCTCAGAGACCCTCCTCTCCCCCTGCTGGTTCCCTCTTCAGCTGCTGAGTCTCTCCCAACCTCCGTGAGCCCTTCCACCACCTGTCCTTCCGATGGCAGTTCCCTGACATCCACCTCCCCTCCAGGGCCCCCTTCACCCCCTCCCGTTCCCTCTCCTCTGGGCGGTGAGGAAGTAAAACCCCAGAAAGAATCTCCTTCATCTTCAGACGTCTCGAACATTTCCCTCCACCGGTTGCGGTTCCTGGTCTCTAAGTACTCCTCCTCATCGGAATCTATTCCTCCGATTCTGTGAACCCCTCCAACTCCTCTTCCTCGTCGGTGGTGCCAAAGTATTCCCTCCGGAACCTCGCTACAGGCTGAGGTTTCCGTGGGAACCTTTGATGGAACGTTTCTAGTAAGACCTCGTCATTGACATCCTCTGCCATGACCCAGGTGTTTTCTGACTCCGGTTCCCCTTCCCACATTACCAAATACTCCACCTGATCACCCTTCCACCTGGAGTCGATGATCTCCACCACATGGCTGCTGTGTTCCCTTTCTTCCATTGCTGGTCCCCGTGTGAACCTCCCTTCTCGGTCCCCCTTATAAGGGGACAGTAACGACCTGTGGAATACTGGGTGCAGCTTCATGTGGTTCGGTAACTGGAGTCTGAAAGCCACGGGGTTGACCTGTTGTATGACCTCAAAGGGGCCCAATCTTTTGGGTCT